ATATGAAAGAGGTAAAAAAGAAGATGAAGATGAAGGAGGCGAAAAAAAGATGAAGGAGATGGAAGGTGAAAAATAGGATGAAGAAGATGAAGGAGTTGAAAAAGAAATTGAAGGAAATGAATGAGATGAAAAAGAAGATGAAGATGAAGATGAAGGAGGTGGTAAAAAAGATGAAGGAGGTGAAAGATGAAAAGGAGGATAAAGAAGATGAAGGAGTTGAAAAAGAAATGGAATGAGATGAAAATAAGATGAAGGAGATGAAAGAGGTGAAAAAGAAGGCGATGAAAAAGAAGGTGAAGGAGGTGGAAGAGGTGAAAAAGAAGACGAAGGAGTTGAAAAAAGAAGAAAAAAAGAAAAGAAGGGGTTAAAAAAAAGACGAAGAATGTATAGAAGAAGACGAAGAAGGACAAGATGGAGGGGATGAAAAGGAAAGCGTGGAAAAAGATGAAGTGAAAAAGAAGGAGAAGAGGAAAAAGGGCTGAAGAATGAAAGCTGAAAAATATGAAGACGAAGTAAGCGAAAAAGACGAAAAAGATGGAGTCGGTGAAGACGATGCAAAAGAAGATGAAAATGAATAAGGTGATGAAAAGGAAGATAAAGGAAATGGAAGGGAAGGTGGAAAGAAAGATCAAGAAGGATAATGTAGAAATCGGAGAAGGGGATGAAAAGGATGATGTAAAAATAAGAAGGATTTTCAAAAAGAGGAAGAAGGAGATGAAAAGGAGAGGGAGGTGGTGATGAAAAGGAGAGAAAGGAGATGAAAAGAAGAGGAAGAAGGAGATGAAAAGGAGAGGAAGAAGGAGATGAAAAGGAGAGGAAGAAGGAGATGAAAAGGAGAGGAAGGAGGTGGTGATGAAAAGGAGAGGAAGGAGGAGGTGAAAAGGAGAGGAAGAAGGAGATGAAAAGGAGAGGAAGGTGGTGATGAAAAGGAGAGGAAGGTGGTGATGAAAAGGAGAGGAAGGAGATAAAAAGGAGAGGAAGAAGGAGATAAAAAGGAGAGGAAGGAGGTGATGAAAAGGAGAGGAAGGAGGTGATGAAAATGACAGGAAGAAGGAAATGAAAAGGAGAGGAAGAAGGAGATGAAAAGGAGAGGAAGGAGGAGATGAAAAGGAGAGGAAGGAGATGATGAAAAGGACAGGAAGAAGGAAATGAAAAGGAGAGGAAGAAGGAGATGAAAAGGAGAGGAAGGAGGTGATGAAAAGGAGAGGAAGGAGGAGATGAAAAGGAGAGGAAGGAGGAGATGAAAAGGACAGGAAGAATGAAATGAAAAGGAGAGGAAGAAGGAGATGAAAAGGAGAGGAAGGAGATGAAAAGGAGAGAAAGAAGGAGATGAAAAGGAGAGGAAGGAGGAGATGAAAAGGAGAGGAAGGAGGTGATGAAAAGGAGAGGAAGAAGGAGATGAAAAGGAGAGAAAGAAGGAGATGAAAAGGAGAGAAAGAAGGAGATGAAAAGGAGAGGAAGAAGGAAATGAAAAGGAGAGGAAGAAGGAGATGAAAAGTAGAGGAAGGAGGAAATGAAAAGGAGAGGAAGAAGGAGATGAAAAGGAGAGGAAGAAGGAGATGAAAAGGAGAGGAAGAAGGAGATGAAAAGGAGAGGAAGGAGGTGATGAAAAGGAGAGGAAGGAGGAAATGAAAAGGAGAGGAAGAAGGAGATGAAAAGGAGAGGAAGAAGGAGATGAAAAGGAGAGGTAGTAGGTGATGAAAAGTAGAGGAAGGAGGTGATGAAAAACGATGAAGAATCTGATAAAAAAGATCATGAATGACAAAATAAGAATAATATGGAAAAGAATCTATGAACACGTAGAAGAGAATTCAAAGAAACGGAATAAAACGAAAGAATAAAATCAACGGCATCATTCCTCCTCATCTTACTTCTTCTGTTCCTCCTACTGATCGTAGAATTTATAATAATAATAATAATAATAATAATAATAATGTCGGAAATAACAGAACAGTTTTAATGGTCAAATAAATAGAATGAATTAAAAGTTAAGATTGTAAATCTGCGATTGCATATAGAATGACAGTAAAGACGAGAAAAGAATTAAATCTCCAAAAAGAAAATACAAAACAAACGAAAATATGTTTCTATGAGTGTGTGTGCGTTCATGTGTGTATATGTATGAGTGTGAGTGTGTGTGAGCTCGTGTGTGTGTGTGTGTGTGTGTGTGTGTGTGTGTGTGTGTGTGTGTGTGTGTGTGTGTGTGTGTGTGCTATGAGAAGAGGTTGGTAGGGTGGAGGACAGTTTTTCCGTTGGTTCGCCTAATGAGGAAAACCTAGTTCGCTCACAGCCAACTGAATATCCACCGCTTGCAAAACACTCGTTGAAACTTTTCCCCCGGCACATTGCACATTATTTACTCCGCGAGGAATTTTATTCTAAGATTGCATCACCTGGAATTTATGAAATTCAAGGAGATAGACCGAGAAACCTAACAGAAGCCGGAAACCGTAGAACATCTGATTCCCTTTATTGTTTATTGAATTTAGGGGTGAAGCGTTGGGCGGTGGAAGGTCTGGTTCCAGGTCCCTCTTCAGGTCTGGACTCTGGTTCTGGCTTCACTTATCTCGCATTTCTCCTAACTGAATAAGAAATGTATTATCAGGTTTTCCCTTTCTTATCAATAATGAGTGCAGAGGGCTCCTGCCGTAGAACTGTGGATAACCTGTTAATGTTGCAGGCCTTGTGAGCTCATATCTGACGATGTAGCCTTCGGATGTAATTGGTCACGTCCAAGAATTATCTACTAGCCATAAAACGAGATTTAGAACAAACGACGTACCACCAGTTTTACATTTTGTCCGTATTTATTTGGCATGTCAATGTGTTTCAATTTAAAATTAGGATGAAACAACCAATGTTGGTAAAAAAAAAAAAAAAATTACGAAATACTTACATTTTTATAAGCAGGATATCGATTAAATAATTAATCGAATATATATATATATATATATATATATATATTGAATATATATATATATATATAATATATATATATATATATATATATATATATATATATATATAATATATAAATAAATAAATAATAATAATAATGTTGGAAATAACAGAACATTTTTAATGGTTAAATAAAGAGAATGAATTAAAAGATAAGATTGTAAAGCTGCGATTGCATTTAGAATGACAGTATAGACGAGAATAGAATTAAATG